AAACCGTGAACCGAACTGAGCTTTTATTTTACAAATTTAATACCGTAATTTTCGGAATATAAGCCGTGACTTTTTCCCCATTTTACGACCTTGCGGCTTATATAACAATGCGGTTAATCTATGGACTTTTACAGCTAACGGCCACTAGGGTAATACCTGAATCTATGGATTTTACCATCCGCCATGTTGACGTCACATTTGCTTAAACACACAAGTACGGTAGCCGCGCGCGCGTGGGAATGCTGAGTTCCTCCGGAAGCAGACTTCTACTGCGAGTGGTTCGAGACAGAACCACAGCGAGAAAGCCTGACATTGCGATGTTTTTATGTTTAACACAAAAGAGAGTTTGTGTTAAACATAAAAAAACCTGCGGCGTATAGTCCGGTGCTGCTTGTACATGTACAAATCATGCAATTTAGCTTCTGTGGCTTATATTCAGGTGCGGCTAATAGCCCGAAAATTACGTTAGATTTTCACATTTTTTTCTTCTATGTTAAAGCTGCAGTAGAGAGTTTTGGGAAAACTGGACTTAGCCTGAGAATTTGAACAAGCACACCTTACAGCTCCCTTATTAGCTGCAGTCAGAAGTCGCATAAAATGTAGCAGTAAGACAAATAGGACAATTTGAAATGTAATCTGAGTTTAAAGTGCGATATTTAGTGATGAAATCAGATGTTTGTTGGATGGTTGTTTGGAGAAGAAGCTGGTTCAGCTCACCTTCCTGTCATCAGGAGTCATCTGGTTCATCAGCATGTTCACGTTCTCAGAGCTCCACTCCCAGTCCTGACTGCTGAAGTACTCCAGCAGGTTGATGGCCTTGTGCAGACGATTAAAGATGCGCATCATCCTAAGGGGGGAAAGAAACGAGCAGCGGTTATAAATTTAAACATTTCCTTGTAGAGAAAGATGGAAACAGATATTTACTGTGGCTTCTGTCCACAGAGACGGAGGAAGAGATCGTAGATGAAGGCGGGGAACTTGTGGCTGACCAGAATCCAGTACTGATTGATCAGGTAGTTGGAGGTGATGTTGGCGTTGGGCCTTCGGAAAGCCTGGTCCAGAGGGTTCCTCTTAAAGGACGATATCACATGGTGCTCTGCAAGAAGAATTAAAAACAGATCAACACAAAAAAAAAAGACTCCTTTATCTCGGCGTGAATCACAATAAGCTTTTAGATTTTTAAATCCAAATGATGAAACATTTATTTGGAAAGTTCCTCCTGCAAAACCAACGAAGAACAGAAGGTTTTTGCATTTCAGATAATCCCCTGCTAAGCTTTTCCTCTCTGATGCAATATAAAAACGGGTCAGTGATTTTTAACTTCATGGACGTTTATCCCCACCAAGTCAACAGGTCGAGGCATGGGACTAGTTTCTGTGGAAGGATCCCGTCCGACAACGACCTTCAGCCTTAATCATGACTCAGGGATGTTCAGCTCCCTCCCCTCCACACGCAATCCATCCACAGATGCTCGGAGGGCAGCCATGTGACTGCAGACATTACATCATACGCAGCATGGAACTAGGCCTAGTAACCTTTGTTTCCATGCCAACAGATACGAGGCTGCCGCAGGGGGGCTGAGATGACCGGATCCGAGGTGAAAGGCAGCTGTGGCCCGGATCCTCGCTTCTAACCTTGAGCAGAAACAACAAAAACCCGCCGCAGCTTAGGAGCGCTTCCTGAGCTGCGTTTTAAGGTTGACGCTTGATTCGGATCTGTTGTTATCCCCTGATCCCTGACGTTTAATAACACGCCGGGACATCTGGACAGAAGACTGACCCCAGAGCCTTCCCATCCCAAAGCCATCTGGTGGTGATTTCTGTGGCAAATTTGTCAGTCTGACAACGGAAGCAGGAAAAAATAAGATATCAGTTTTACTTTTTCACGTGAATCCACATTTCCATGACAAATTACAACACAAGGAACCGTTTTCCCACATTTATTCAAATCTGGGAAGATTTAAAATCCAATTGCAGATGCTTCTAGAGCGCCGTTAGTTTCCTTTATTAAGATTAAAATGTTATGGTTATAAAAACTCTTTTGCAGCTGCTCCTTTCCAAGAAAACACCACATTAATAAAGGATTCAAAAGAAGGATTTTGATGTTTCTGCTATTTTCAAATAACCAGAGTTGGAAGGTGACGAAATACATTTACTCAAGTTACTGTATTGAGTAGTGTATTTTGTATTTTTCAAGTAGTTTTTAAAATCGGTAATTTAAATTTTACTTGATTACATTTTGAGTGAAGTATATGGGAGAATTATCCTGCCATAATGCAAGAGCACAATTTGAGAAAAGAATTTCATCTTCTTGCACTCAAAACTTATAATGCTCACACTCAAAACATCATTACGGATTTTTTTTGCTCTCAGATTGGATCGGATCGTTGCCTAGCAACCTTTCCAGCCAATAGAACGACAGCCTCGGAAAGGGTGCGCTTGTCTAACTCTACTGAGTTACGTTACTCAGTAGTTACCTTACCGACAATAAAATGGCTTTTTAATTTAAAAGCTATCCATTTTCAGACGTGACGTGATGTGAACAGAAAACTCCCGCCTCAGAGTTGCTCGTCAGTTTGCTAGTCAGGGCAGATGCTAATTCTGCAGCAGAAATTAAGTGACTTTTCATTGGTGATTCTNCAAATGTTTGGATAAATAGGCTTCAGCAAATCCAGCTTTGCTATGAAACCAGACAACCTTCCTTAAATACTGGTAGCTCATTATTTAATATGCTAAAAACAATATTTGTATAAGTGAAACAAAATCTTCTAGAAAATATCAAAAGTAAATGTCTAGGTGATCAATAAAAAAAAACAACAACATAAGAATAAGAATAAAAAGAGAAAAGGAAAGGAGAGGAAGTGTTTTTGGTAGTTGGAATTAAATATAGGGCTTCTTTCTAACCGATACAGCAAAGCTTTTCCTACTGAAACCATTACCTAATAAACATGAAGCACTCTGCTCCATACAGAAAGGATCAAACCACTAAATCTTCTTCCTCAGAAGAAACCAGACTTGATGAAGTCCACTAGGAAGTAAATATCCTGCAGGCTTCACATCAACTCTGCAGCTGAGACTCCTCGTTGCCCCGGGCGACACCGAGACCCGCTGCAGGTCAGTTTAACCTGACAGACGCAGGAACAAACAGGATCTACTGCCTTTACCGGCTCGGCGTGGGTTCTCCTCTAAAGGTGGGATGTGGGCGAGTGGTCCAGCAGAGAAGTGACGGGAGGATGAAGCCCGGCTCAGTGTGTGGGCGTGAGCTCCTCCTGCCAGCTCCTGCAGGGTGTTACACCAGCAGGGCTGGGAGAAAAAGGCCGGACAAACCGCAGAGCCTCTTCCTGCAGCTGAGTCACCACCCATCTGCCTTTGCTGCTGTGATGTAATGACTCTGAGCTCTGATGTGAAGCAGCAAACTAACATTTGGACATTTCTGACAGCAGAAGCAAAGGAAACGACGAAAATCCACCTACTGGATTAATTTAGCATTAGGTATGCAGTACAGCCCACTGCTGCAAGAGGTTAGAAAAGCATGATTGCTTTAAAAGTTGCAGCAACAGGTCTTTTCACCCATGTGGCATAAAAAAAAGAAAAGAAAGCAAGTTAAGCTTATTTTCAAAATAAAAAAAAAAGCTTTAGTCCTGTAATTCCTCAATTTTAATCCAGTTTTTGCATAACCCACACGTAAAGATGCCTGAAGGAAGACTTTGGCTGTGTCTGAACATACATGTGAACGGAGCGGAGCGCCGAACAATTCCCGCTCAGGAATCGGTCAACTATAAAGTCTCTATATAGTCCCCGCTCTATAGCGATTGAGGGATCATCTTTCTTGTCTTTAATCAAAAAGAAACTGCAGCTACTTTTTTAGGCTGCAGTTGTGATGATGGCGACTGGTTTCTTCTTTTACTAGTTATTGTATTAACAGAGTTTGCCTATTAATGGGAGGGAGATGGAAAATGGACGCAGAGGCCTACAGATGACTAACAAATGGATGGAAAGATTAAAAAAAGATTCAAAACTGCATAGATGGAGGAAAAGAAAGGAGAGATGAACAGACTGATGGACAGGTAGATGAACAGTCCATAAAAAGGATGGATAAATACACAGACGGGGCAGAGTTTCCACAAAACTAAAATTACAAACTCAGTATTAATATTCAATGAGATGTTGATGGATATCAGTGTTTGACATCATGTTTGTTTCTTTTATCTTTTAAACTCATGCACTTCTGAAGTAAAAGTGAATCAACTCTCAGATTTCTTTAACTCTGCAGAAACACTGAAAAACTCTCCATGGAGATTCTGACTGAACAATTAGGCAGAAATGAAAAAAATAAATTCAAATTTTTTTCTAATTTGATACCAAAATGTCCAGCAATTTGCCGCCTTTTACAGTTGCCTTTTGTATCTATGCTTCTTTTTCTATGTCTGCTTCTGTCTCCTTGAACCCCAGTNAAGCGCACCTTTTCTGAGGCTGTCGTTCTATTGGCTGGAAAGGTTGCTAGGCGACGATCCGATCCAATCTGAGAGAGAGCAAAAAAAATCCACAAGCAGAGCCTACGGGTTTGCGAGCGTATCTGAGACTCGAGCAGAGCGCGGTTTGTGTGCGAAGAGGAGGCAAGCGAGAGGAGAAAATATCTGTGCAAGAAGCATTAAATCTGAGAGAAGAAACAAAGAGAGAAGAGAAAATATTCGAGAGAGAGCGCATTATAAGTTTTGAGTGCAAGAAGATGAAATTCTTTTCTCAAATTGAAATTAAGTGCTCTTGCATTATGGCAGGATAATTCTCCCCTAATAAGTATTGTATTTCGTTACATTACAAATCCCATCCGTTACTGAGTAAAAAAAAAAAAATTTGGAAAACCGAAAGGAAGACAAAAAATCGGGCCCGGAAGCACTACAGCGAGTGACGCGATCAGCATGTAGATCTAGGCTACCAGGCGCCAAGTCTTTCTGTAGGAGATTGGGAACGACAAGGAGGTGGATCAGGAGAGCGACGACGGCTCAGAGAACGTTTCACTAGAAATGCTAGCTGAAACATCGAATTCTGCTGCCCAAAACCACGAAAATCCTCGGCTCAGATGTGTCTGCCAAAGGTGATTCAATAACTCCACATCTAATCTGCGGAAGCATGTTTTGGTAAGTATTTAGTGCATTGGTACTTCAAACAAAGTTTTCATGACTAATACCCAATTAGCAAAACAACCTGTTTCGTGGCATTGCTAATTTTGTCTAGCACAGGGGTCGGCAACCCGCGGCTCTTTCATCCTGATACTGCGGCTCTGAGTGGCTCGGGAAAATAAATTGCTAAAAAAAAAAACTAAGTATTGTTGTTAATGTTTGAAGAAAAGAAGGACGGCCCTCAGAACCAACAATTTATGGCACTTTTACCGTCAATTGATTGTTTGAAAAAGTTTTATGGGATGTTCTGCACTAAAATGGCACATTATACCTTTCTAAGGGTCTAAAATGTCATGTGTGACATGCGTTATCTTGTCATTACATGTGTTTACATTTGTATAGATTTTTCTTAAATTAAAAACTAAATAGTTTTGGATTTATGACTCCTTGTCCAATTTTCACTACATGGGAGAAATCCACTGCTCCGTTCAACAGTTTTTTTTTTTTTTAACGTAACTAAGTAACTTTTACTTAAAATACATTTTAAATTAGCTACTTACTACTTTTACTTGAGTAATATTTCATCCCAGTATTGGTGCTTTTATAAAAAAAAATGTCCATAGCTGTATATTGGTTATTTATTCTCCAGGTGCACAGTTTTATGTTGTTAAAACACTTTAAAGTACAGTATTTTATTGTTTATCTTTTAACTCTGCACTATTATTTTATTCTTATACATTTTTCTAAGGTCCACATTTGTGTGAAAATTTTTTCTATCATCTTTTTGCCGCTTTAAACACCAGAATTCCCCCATTATGGGACAATAAAAGGATTTTTTTTTATTCTATTCTAAAATGTGATTTCCCCCAAAACAGAAAGAATGAATTAGCTATAATTAGGTTGATATCTTAAAAACATAATTATAGCAAACTAGTATTTGATGACAGCGATATTATTTAGAGTGACCCGATTTTAAAAAAGCAAAACAGATTTATTTGTGGAAAGAATAAAAATCTGATTCCTTTTTATCCATTTTCCTGTTTTTGTCCAGCAGGTGGCAGCCTTCCCTGCCTCAATCCACCCCTGTAACCACAAACATCATGTCACAGGCCTGATTGATCCATCTGGGATGATGCCAGAGAACCAGAGCGGCTATAACATCTCTATAAACGTCCGCCTACACCGACTGGTTCCCGTTAACCTTAAACAAGCCAACCAGCGCATACTTACCAATCTCCCCCCAGTGGAATGGGTTGATGCCGCCGGTCGTACAGTTGTACACCAGAGCCGTTTTCGGCCTGCAAAAGAAGGAAGATTTAAGTCTCACATTGCAGATTTCTTCTGTTTTTGTTTTCTGGTACAACTAAATATTTCAGTTTACTACGTCTGAAAAAAATCTCACCATAAAGGCTGATTTTAGGGGGAAGAAAATCTTAGATATTAAACAGAAAATAAAGTTAGATTATCAATTGTTTAGAAAAGAGCAACATTCAGGCCTGGTTACTGCTGGACCGATAGGATCCCCTCAAACTAGGACCGCATGAAGTAGGCTAAAGAACTCAACCACGTATTTGCTTTATCCCAGTTAAACCTCTTTAATGTTATTCCATAAAAATTCAAAAAATATCCGCTGGACTTGGTTTCCAAGATTTGAAGACGTTTCGCCACCTCTCCAGGAAGCTTTCTCAATTCTTTAATGTTCGCTATGGAGCAAGTTTTAGCGCATGGAGCAGTTGGTTAAACGAACATTTGTTCTCCAGGAATTTCTGTGGCATTTCAAAAGGGAGAGGCTACATTTTCCCAACCGATTCCCACCAAAACGGAACATCTGACACAGTCAGCTGAGAAGGAATGAGTGGGACCTCAGGCAGGAGGAGGAGGTGATTCAGCCGAAAGGATTTCAGCATTTCACACCCAGTCTTTAGCAAATAAAGAGGAAA